GGGGTATTACTCCCTAAGGCTTCGACTAGGTGTGCCCGCCCAGCTGCTGTGCGCGACAGTCCACACAGAAAGCCCTTGAGCACTCAAATTCAAAACGCCAAACTCATTGGGCCTCAAGCCAACTCCAAAGCCAAACTTTGAGTCTCAATTCGACTACGTCAGGTTCGTAGGCCTCGAGCCTCCACCAATTATACAATTGCCAAGCTCGAGAGGCCTCGAGCTTGGCAATTGCCCACGCCCAACCGAGACGCGAATACGCGAATAAGAGAACAAGAGCGGGATCAGGATTCGAAAGAACCCTAAACCCGTCAAAGGTTGAGGCCAGGGTGGAGCGCCAGCGGGGATGGGCTCGTGCAAGTCGGGGTGCGCGTCTGGGTACTTCTAGCACCAGCGTGCCCCCTCGCTGAGACAACATAATCCCTAAATCCTAAACCCAAAGTCCTAAGCCCTAAACCCTAAGCCCTAAACCCTAAACCCGAAAAACCCATTATAGTAGTTTCCATTTTCTTTTCCATTATCCACATTTCACCCCTAAATCTAAACACCCTGAACTGAGGAGGCTGCAGGCTTCTTCGCTGCCCCATCAGTCAGCGGAGTTGCCTCGGTCGGCTTCTCGTCCTTGCAAAAGGTTTAGGGCTTGGGGGCGGGGGATTCAGGTTTAGAGAAGAGGGATTAGGGTTTAGGGATTAGAGTTTAGGGTGATTAGGGATTCGGAATTATTTGGGGTTCCTTACCGCAGTGATGGAGACTCAAGTGGAACAATGGAAATGATATGAGCCATAGTCTAAACTCCTTAAAGGGGGGTTAAGGGATTATAAGGGGACTATTACAGGGGTTGCGAAGGGTAGAGTCCGGGACTTCGGGTCGAACGCTACGTGGTTTGCTTTTTGGGGGAGTCCTTATGGCGAGGACTGTAGTTTATTGGGCTGTGATAAGGGGCTGCTGGGTTTAAGTTTCAGAGCTTCTGACGGAGGTCTGAACAAAATGAAAACAGAATATGACATCGGCAGCTATCAACATGGTGCTTACCAGCGTAGCACTGACTTTATACTGCTTGAATGCAGCCGTGACAATCAAATAACGAATCCTGCACCCGTCGTGAACGGGAGGGCTACTCCAAAGAATCTGACTTCATTCATGTCTAGAATCCTTGACCCTAAGCATTCCACCAGAATGCCTCAAGCTAATAGAGGTGGGCATACAATAGCTGGGATACGTGCAAACAAAAACGAGGAAAGCCGCAATGGCAAATCACTGACACAAACAGCAATGGAAACTAGGTTGCACGTGCGCGACACGCCTGCAGGTTTTGAGGTGGTTAGATGTGTTTATTTCCATGGTTTCGGCGCGATTTCGACGAAAATTGATGTTTTTCAAGTTAGGTAAGACTATAGGCTTTAAAAGTTTTAGGACAACACTCCTGAGGCAGGAGGCATGACCGTATGTTCCTGGCACACAAACGTTATTGTGGCTTGGGCATGGATGCGATGGTAACCGTATGGTCTCGAAACACGAACGTTACGATGGTTTGGGCATGGATGCACTGGTAACCGTATGCTTTCATTGTTATTATTTGGGCATGGATGCACTGGTAGGAGTATGGCCTCGGAGCTCAGCGGAGAGGCGGAAAACCATGAAAAAACATTAAAAACAGTAAAAGCGAGCCCAAATCGCCAGGCGCCTCGCGCGCGTGCCACCAACTAGTAGAGCCAGTTCATGCCATGTGTAGGCGAGGTGAAACACTTGTTACAATAATCAGGATGCCAACGATAGAAAGATCACAGCGTCAATCGGAAAGACAAGAAGAATGAAATTATCGTCGGCGACAGCAGCGTTAGTCAGCATCAAGCAACGAAACAATCTTGCCATAGTACCCTAAAATTTAGAGGCAACACTGTTGATAGCTTTTTTGCATGACCTTAGTCTACTATAGCACCATAATCCCCAAGGCTTAGGCTACTCAGGGTCCTGCAGGATTCTTAGTATCCAACCGTAGTAAATAACCTAGCATGATACGAATAAGAACCTTCCTGCTGGGCCTTAAGCCCTACACCCTCAACTAGAGCAGGTTTGGGGGCCAGATAAAACCTTAAATTTTATGGCTTGATAATGATTATACAGGAATTGCAGGTAACAAGCAATTAAAAACAAATCCAAGCTACCTCTGTAAACCCTGAGCCCAATGATTGCCAGGTCCTGGTTGAACTGCTCCTTGAGCTTGAGATGGCTCCACAAGGCAATGCCACAGATGGTGACCTGCTGGCGTTACAATGACAATGACGTGCAATCTGTGGGGTTTAGGGTTTCGACTTTAGGGTTTAGGATTTTGAAACAAGATTGTTGAAGAGACCCTGCCTGTTCCACATTATCTAGCCAGGATCCATCAGGGTACCCCATTCGCGAACATGCTCAAGTATGCACACAACCCTGTACATGCACGCATAATAGTAGTTGCAGGTACCGCCTGCAAGGGGAGCTCTAACTTCATATAATATGTATATCTAGCTAGAAGTACATCATAGAGCCGGCTCGTACCTGCAAATCTTCGTTCCACATAGGCGGCCAGCTCCTGTATACACTATGCATAGGCTTACAACTGTCTTGTCCTCGAAGCTTCAGCATGCTTTCGGGAGTACTGCATACTATCAATCAATATGGTAGCGAACACGATGGGACCCAAACAGATGATGTTAACGACCACCCGCAAAATTTGAGAATGTCTGAAGATGGGGAGCCGGCAGGAACCCAAGAGAGATTACAGTATCTACTGGCTCTATAAAAGCATCCTGGGGCAAGGGCCGTGAAGCCCAGATATTGCTGGTGCGAAATCGGATCACCAAATATCAGGCTGGACGAGGCCACAATGGTGACATCCTGCAAGGTGCATGGGAGCTTCTGATAATTGTCAGAGCCTTGACACCACATCTCGGATGCATACGACCAATACCGCGAACACAACTGTAAAGGTAAGTAAGTTCAATAATTATATGCCTTTCTGGAAAATTCTTCTCATCGTATGCCTCATACTGCCAACCACGATAATCATACCTACCACCTCAAGACCTTGTGAGCGGGTCGCAATGGAAGTAGAATATTTGAGTTGGCGCTTGGGAACATGTGGAATTCTCACACGCATGATAGTCGTAGGAGTCTGAAAAGCATGAGGGGGCCCCCTCATTTTTCTGGAAGCCCACATCGTGGACTTTTGGGAAGGTCCCTAAACCCTAAACCCTGCAAACGCAGGCCTTCACGACACCAATGATCACAAAAGCCAAGGCAGAGAGGCGCTTAAGAGTGAGGGCAATGAGGACATTGAGGCAGAAGGCCAGAGTGGCGTTGAGCAGGACAACCCACCACCTAAGTAATTGGGGTTTAGGGTTTAGGGGGTGGTGCTGAAATAACAAGGTTGTATTCTCCTTGAAAAAAGCTGCACCCAAAGGAGAATATGATCTTACTCTCTAGTGGGGACCATAGCCTCCCCATATGAAGGACAACTCTCCTGGCTCACGAAAAAATGCGCCGGACGCCGTACACCCAAGGGGGTGAAGACACAAGTGTCCCAAGGCAAGACCCAGGCACATGCCGATGAAATCTGTGAAGATTTCTGGCGACCACGTCGAAATAACGCCGACCAGCAACGGGATGAACGAGAAGGGCGCCTGTCACACATCCACTCACCAACCCTGCAGAAGGACTCCGCCGAGCAAACGGTAGACAACTAGGGACAAGGCACTACAAGACAAAAGCATCAACTCCTTGATGAGCCTACTATTACGTGTACGGTTACTATTACTCCTACCATTACTACACTACTTCGTGCTTGCTAGTCCTCCATATGCAAGTAGCTCTCAAAACCCAGCGTCGCATTGGAGCGTGGTCCTTATGATTTGGATCCTGCCCCCACCCATTACCTGTCTCTAACAGGGGTCATATTAAGGGCTCTATATGGTTATATAACTAACATTTTTGAAGCTGTTAAGAAGTGGGGTCAGTACCCAGCTTATGATGGAGGCCCCTCCGCAAAGACGAAGAACCACCCTTGCTGCGGGATCCTCAGGCTTAGTCTATTTAGGGACAGAGTGTACAATCAAATAGAAAAATGGAAAATGACATGGAAACTGGGTTTATACAGGGGTCTAAGGGGGGTATGTAATGTAGAAGCCTGGTCCTAGATTCCTTGCAAGGTTGGAGCAAAGGGAACCTGAAACAAAACAATTTAGGCCCCTACATAAACATTATAAGCCCGGATATACACCGATTTGCATCTACGGGTCCATGTTCTTTTCCATTTGCTTCCCAATCATTGCAGGGGGCTGCTAAAAGAAAACCCTGAATCCTGAACACCATATCCTCCTATTTCACGCTACATAACCCCTGTACAATCCTCTTAAAGACCCTCAACCCTAAACCCTAAACCCTAAACCCCTCAGCCCTGATGGCCTGGAACAGGACAAAAGTCAAGACATCGAGTTTCAGGCCTGCACCAGTCCTGGGGATTTACGGTTTAGGGTTTAGGGTTTAGGGGGGGGCCAGTAGGAATTAAGGGACTATAGTCCATAGGGATTATATAGGGATCATAATATTAGGGTTTTAGGATGTAAGGGTTAGAGTCCAGGCAGGGTGTAGGGGTTGGGTTGGGTTTTAGGGTTTAGGGGGTTAGGAGTTAGGAGTTAGTAGTTAGGATTTAGGGTTTCGGGTTTATGGGTTAGGGTTAGGGTTGAGGGATTAGGGTTTAGGGTCCAGGATTTAGGGGTTATGTAGGTTTAGGGTTTCAAGTTAGCGGTTAGGTTTTTGGGTTAAGGGTTCAGGCTTAGAGTTTAGGTAGGGTCGATATAGTTTTTTTTTTAATGTGGCTTGTATAGGGCTACTGGCCCATTCGGATCGTATCTTTTAGGGTTTAGGGTTTATGGTTTGGGGTTTTGTTTTATAAGTGGGGAAAAAGAAATTGAAGCTACATGACCATGGTTTAGGTCTTAGGCTTTAGGATCGGTGCCACTTCGCAAGAAGGCTGATACTGAAGAGAACTGGGATGATTATATAGTAGTCCCCTATATTCTTCTGGAACGCTGCTCCGGAAAGAGCTGAGCGTTGCTCAGCATCTGTACATGATGCCACGAAAGAAAAGGAGGCACCCATGTTGTTGCGCATCTGCGCAGTGAAAAAACTGTTGCTCGCAGCTTAAACTGCCAAGCCGCAGCTGTGTGACGAGCCAATGTTCTCAGGGATCGAACCATACATAACTCCCCTTCATGGAGTTTAGATTATGGTACATATGGGTTAGAAGGGTCACAAGTGTGCTTGATAGATCTGGCCCCTAAACCCTAAACCCTAACTCGAAGCAGGGTTTCAGGCTTAGGCGGTAATTCCCAATTTTATCGAAATATTCCCATATTCCCTATTGTGGTATAGTATTATAATATGTTCCGAATATTTCATACTTGGGAGGGGTGGGGGGGGTTGATGTTTGGGGGAGGGGGTTATTCCAAGCTGAAGGATCCCGGACATATTTAGAACGCTCCGAAAAACGGGATGATGTCAATCTGAAGGCGTGCACGCGGGGTGTTTGACAATTAATCGGTTTGAAGTTATGTTCCTTGTCTTACTGGTTGTTAGTAGGGAATAAGAGAACATAATCCCTGTATACTTCCTGTAGGATATATTCCTTTCTAACAACTAGTAAGTTGTCGGATTGATAATCTCTAACCAGTGTCAGCACGATCTCGCCAATGAGGTTTTTGGAGGATTCGGCGACCTTGGCCGGCTAGCCCCGTGTCAAAAGGACTGAAATCCTTTTAGGGCCGCTTTGGGGGTCCCACGTATGTTAGTTTGGGGGCTTTAGAACTTGTGTTTTAGGACCAGGCGACCTGAATGTGGGCCGTTTGTGTTTGTGGGCCACTTTTCCTGCCAAATGAAAGACCAGCTTTCAAGTGTCTTGGGGAATGGTAAACAGAATGAGTAGACCCAGGAAATTGATGCAAGGCTAATGCCACCTAGCTATGGTCCCTCCAAGGCGACACAAATCCTTTCTGACCTACATGCTATCCCCATCAACCCCCATGCAATCCTGATGCTCACCCATCCACAATCACAAATCTCTGCATGCGGCTTCAAGGCTACAGCAGTTGCACTGCAAGGAATGTCTGCAACATGTGGGAAGCCCTGTATTAATCCCACAGGACAGCGGGATCGGATCCCGAACCCAAAACTAATGAGAAGCCTGTCTACTTCCCGTACCAAGGTACTTCGCTCATAATCATGTATTCAGGCTCCTACATTAAGCCCCAAACCCAAAACCCTTAACCCTGAAAAGTAGACTCCATGTTCTTTTCCATTATCCCTATATAACTCCCTATAGAACCCCTGTAGTATCCCTATACTACCCTATGTTTTGCAACCGGTCACCCTAAACCCTAAACCCTAAACCTATATTACCCTGTTTTTTGCAACCGGTCACCTGCGAAGAAAGCTGGAAGATGAGGCCCAGCATCTGGAACTTGATCTCTCCGTGAGCACAGATGCAGCAGCCTGGGAGAATTATGAAGGTCTGCTCAGCCATGCGGTTGGGGTTTTAGGGTTTTTTTTTAAGGGTTTTTGGGTTTGGGGTTTTAGGGTTTGGGGTTTTAGGGTTTGGGGTTGGGGTTTAGGGTTTTAGAGTTTAGGGTTTAGGAATTAGGGTTTAAGGTTTAGGGCTGAATTTCATAAGGCTTGTTGATTTCCG